CTCAGTGACCCAGAATTAGTAAAGTTTGACTACATTTATTTCAGAAGCATTTTGGCTGTAGAGCAGTGTAATCTCTTAATGAACAGAAGAGTGTATGTCTTGAGCAAGTCAGTTCACCTCAGCTTCCCTCTCAATGAAACAAGGATCGTGAAACTTGCCTGTCTTTGTCAAATGCTTTGTGATCTATGCATTAAAAGCATGATGTAAGTGCTATATATTACATACCTTTTCCTGAGAGATTGGGAAGTGTAAATAACATGTCATTGTCCCTGGGGATGGAATACAGCATGCTTTCCTTCAGAGGAACAGTATGGTTTGAATGTCTAAGTACTCTCAGGCCCTTAATTAATATGTTTATTTCAGTAACCTCCTCTTGCTGAACCTGCAAAGGAGAAAAATATTGGAATTCTATATCTGTTTTAAAGTAAGGGTGAGGCAGGCCACTGGCTAAAAACAAGCTCCATTAAAATACTCTAGCATGAAGATTTTTGTGGATGCACAAATATTACTAACATAATAAATAGTATTTCTTTTTATTTACTTATACATTAGCAGAAGTGCGTTAAAGGTTGGGAAGGTACCTGTTCCTGCAAGAAGGTGTGTTAATATGATCAGCTTGATTTTCAAGAGTTGTACCCAACTCATTATGGCTATGATTCAGAAAGGTATTTAAGCACCTGCCTCACTTCAAGCATGTGAGCAGTCCCAGTGAAGTAAATAGGATTTTGCACGTGGTTTAGTATACTGCTGAACTGAGGCCTATGCTACTGGCCATTCACTAGGCACTACTGCTATCATTTCCTACTTTACCAAGTCTGACATCAAGGGATAATGCATTTTTACACAGGTGTATTTATCTGCATAGCCAGTGAGGTGATTTCTGATGTGACCTGCAGCAGTTCAGCTTGTCAACAAAACAAGTTCTGCCAACATGATTAATATCTCCATTTGTCCTTCCAGCAGCTTACGCTTACCTACTCTTTCTTTAATGTAAAGCTACAATATTCAGAGAAGGGAGTGGCACAACACCGATGTAACAAAGTTATTAAAAAGTACAAAGAGAATATGCATATTTTGTTAACCATATTTATACTAGATTGACCTAAAACATAACAAAACAATCTCATATTTTTCCTCCACACAAATATTAGGTGATGTATTATTTTGACATTCTTTATTTCTAAAAAATGCTCATTAGAAGTACTGACTTATGAGGAAAAAATTTCAGTGTGAAGAGTAATAGAACAGCTGTTCAAAATACAAGACCAGGAACTGACAGAAATCCGGCGTGTGCATTGGGTCCAGGACAAAGACTGCAACATGGAAGTTTGTAAACAAAAAGGAATGCAGTAGGATGTAAGCTATTAGCTGGATCCTGCCCTTAGGCGATGCACAGTATTGCGTAGCTCAGAATTAAAACTACTGCATAATATGAATCATCTGTTCACTGTCAGCTGATAATCAAGATTGCATGCAGTGTTGGTATCAGGATATTAAGGAGACAAGGTGGGTGACCAACTTCTGTTGGTAAGAGACAAGCTTTTGCACTATACAAAGCTCTTCTTCAGGTTGAAAAGGGTGAAAGCCCCAGACAGAAATAAAGCAGTTTAATATGCTAGTACTAATACCCTATCAAGGTTTGAAGTATATTGTATAGAATAGTAAAAGATCTGAAACAAAGCATTACTACTATATGGTAGTCACAGTAGGAACCAGTGCAATGCATGCTTAGGCTACATTTTTTCATAATAAAAGGTGTAATACACACTTACATTCTAAAACACTTGAAACAATGAATTACCAGATCATTTTAATAAGCTATAGTCACAATTATTTTGACAAATGTACTACCTGTTAAATGTCTGTGCATGCACAGTAAAAGGAGAATAAGACATTTTGATAATTCCTTATTAACAAAATCACTCCTCTACTGCTGTGGTAAATTTCATAGTGAAATCTCAACAAAAACTAGATCCTGTATAAGACAGAAATGTATACTAAACCATAACCTGGAATTTCTACTTGCCACAACAACCTGTATCATTAGGTATGCTCAGTGCAGAACTTCTCTGGTTTGAAGAGTGAGTGGCTAACAATTTATGCAAAATTTTGAAAAATAAAGTGCTGCATACTTTCCATTTTTTTGTTGACCGATATTTCCTGAATTCTCATCTCAACTATAATTGAGAAACATCTTTCCATAGCAAATTAGATTATTTTTTCTTAAGAGCTCATTTGCCCTCGGTGTGTCTCTCCTAAAGCCTGTCTGTGATTATTATTTTCATGGCAACTACCAAGTTTTTGGGGATAGGGGATTGCTTAAAATTCACACAATATTCTATAAGGAGACAAAATAGTCTAGGCCTTGATCCTGCAAGGTGCTAAGCACTTTATCCCCAATCCAGCAAAGCACTTAAGCATATGAGAGTTAAAACGTGTAAATTACTATTCTGATTTAGAATGGGCAAATAAGCATGATTAGTGTTACCTCTCTTCCATCGATTTCGGTCACCTCTTCCTGAATGACAATCAACTGCAAATTTGATCTGGATGCCAAGGGCCACTCACGAAACATGATGCGAACACTGACAATTCCCCAATGCCTTTGATCCAATAGGTTATCAGAGTTTCCAGTTTCCACTGTCAACAGATAATTATGCAGTGCACACAGTCACAAAAAGAAACAGAAGTCCCACTCACCCTCATGACTTTACTACTCACAACCGCCTCATACCCGCCACCGCAAAGTCTACCATGATCACACACTCAACAGCCCTCCACCTCTCTCTCAATGTTTCCTGGACACATCTACTGTCCTCCTCCCCAAACACCATGCTCCCACCACTAGTGAGTGTGTGTTAGATGTGAAAGAGAGTTTGTTGTGGAAATGAAGAGCAAGTTAGCACTGATATTTTGATGTGCGGGTGGTCAGGCATATGAGTTGAGGCTGGTCTGGATGTCACATCCAGGCCGTTGATGCACTGCACAGCTTGTTGGTGTTGGGAGGCACAAGGTGTTTGGCCTTGTTTCTTCAATCACCCAATAAGACCCTAAAATGTGCGTTGCTTTTACAGTAAATCTCCTTAATATCAAATATTTTTTTAATTAAAAAAAGCTTTTTTTTAATTTATGCAGCAATGCCTTGCATTATGAAAAAAATATGGCCAGATACGAGAAAAATATTAAGACCTATATAAATTTATATCTCCCAGTGGACCCACAAGCTTGTTGAATGTTTCCTGAATTACGATATTGAATATACAGTTAAAGGGCCAAATCCTAAGAGATGCAAAAGCACCTGCAGCTCCCAATCCTCCCAACCTTTAAATGCCAAGTCCCCTGAATTCTGATTAAGTTTAATGGGAACTGAAGACATTCAGCGCTTAGCAAAATTGAACCCATTGATCTCAATAGGAGTTACAAGTGCGTAAGAGGTGCTGAGCAGGATTTAGCGAAGCTCTTAACACAGAACTACTCAGTCAGAACACTAAGACTTCTGTCCAGGGCAAGAACTTGGATACTTAGGGCCTGATTCAGACCTCAGATAAAGTCAGTGTAGTTAACTTGCTTTTACGATAACATAAAAGATATCAGAATGAGGACCTTAGTAATCCTACAGCACTTTGAACTTTACCAATGTTATCTAATTAAACCTCACAACAACCCTGCAGAGAAGTTAAAAGTCTTGTGCCAAGGTCACAAAGCTGAGAACAGAACTCTAGAGTTCCTGGTTCCTAGGCCTTGGGTCAAATCACTAGTTTTTGCCTAGTTTCTGATTTACATAGCACAGTTGTAAAATTTCAAAAGCACTGTAGATTAGTGGGTTGGACAATTAGAAAGAAAATGGAATTTGAGAATGCTCAGCATCTCACAGGATTAGGCTTTACATTCGTAAATAAAATCTTCTCTTGCATTTTTCTTGAGTCAATTACCTCTGAAGTAAGTTACACTTTGAAATGTTTTATAATCTATACTAGAGATGAAAAAGATAGGAACATACTTTTACTACATGTGACAAATAGTAATGAGTTATCGCCTCCCCAAAAAGAGAGTATTTAATTATTCATTTGTCATCCTTTGGGTTTTCAAAAGACAAGGTCGCAGCTTAGAGAAGCAATTTAAAAGACCATTAGTAAAGGTCTGATCATAAAGGGCAGATGATCTCAGAAGCCAACCTTGAGACTGACCATAACTAGTGAATCTGCATGTAAAAGGATCTTCAGTCAAATGAACATCATTGTCTCAGCTTCTTTAATTATGCAGTCCACTGTGCAAATCCAAGTATCAAAACACTTTTGATTGGCAGTCCTTGCACAAGACAACAACACTGAACTAGGGGAAGGAGAACAGACATGTGCAACAAATCTCGAAGAACAACATTTACAGAACAGGTTAGTAACCGTTCCTTCTTTGAATGATTGCATGTGTCCATTCCACTTCCGGCTTGAATTGGAAATGGGCCACAGGAAATGGATCATTTGGTGATTACCTGTTCTGTTCATTCCCTCTGGGGCACCTGGCATTGGCCACGACAGGATACTGGGCTAGATAGACCTGTGGTCTGACCCAGTATGGCCATTCTTATGAACTGCTTGTGAGTCACTTGAGGTGGGTTTCCGAGTCCACCTGAACAATGACCGAAGGACAGCTCATCAGAACTTGGCATCATCTCCAGAATGCTGAGATATGGAATAATAAGTAGTAAAGGTGTGTACTGAGGGCCAAGTTGCAGCCCTACAAATGTCTGATATAGGCACATGCGCTAAAAGCACTGCAGAAGTTGCTTGAGATCTTGTCGAGTGTGCTATCACCTTGCTTGGCAGCACTATGTTGGCAATGTCATAGCACAGGTGTATACAGGAGGAAATCTGGGACAAGATCCTCTGCAGCAAGACTCGGGGGGTAGGGCCTTTATCCTCTCTGCGAGTGCTACAAACAGTTGAGAAGATGATCTCAACAATCTAGCCAAGTAAAAAGCCACATCCATGGTATGGAATCTAAATACTTCTGAATGCCAGCCCTTGCACAGGAGGTACAACATTGAACTAGTGGGGGAAACAACAGCTTCCCCCATTACAGACAGTATAAAATATCAGGATTGCAACACCTACACAACAGCATCTTATACGTGAGAAACCTGCAGTCCCAATGTAGGTGGAATAATGACAATGGCAAAATATACTTAAAGATCATAATCCTAATTCCTATTTATCCTACTCAAACTCTCTTTGGATGTGTGCCACCCAACATAGAGAGACAGCCATTAGCAGTGGGGAGTTGCATTATTATATTCACATTACCCAGTCTAGTGCAAAACCGTCCCCTTTCAAAAATATACACAAGGTCTGTATTTCAGGTGAAACCGTGTAAATACAAGGACATGACTAGGACATGGAAACATATGAGGATGTAAGATTTTGTTACATGTTGATTCTAAACACATCCTAACTCTGTAAACGTGTTGTTTCCAAATATTTCTGACCTTCAGAGAGCACCATAGCAATGAATTATTTGTTATGTCCTTCTCTAGGTGACATGGAAGCAGATATCCCAGATAAAGAATTGAGCAGTACTCACATATTAAAGTTTGACACTTAATTCGGGTAACACCTCTCTTCATAGGAAAGTCATTTACATATATCTGTCCACTATTGTAGGTGATATTAAAGACAACCTTAAAAAAATAAAAGATAGTTGGCAAAATATTAATATATAGTCAGATTTTCAGTTTCATAAATAATGTAAAGAACAGATTAGAGAGTCACTATTGTATAAAATACTGAAATGAATAAGTCATCAGAAAAATCTGCGAAAGCACACATTCACAGGTAGAGTTTGGTTCATAACTTACTAATATGTTGAGTAAACAAAAACAACAAACCTGTGCTTCTTGAGATTCTTCACTAGTTTTCAACATAGTAACATTAACTCTGATGTTCTCCTGAAAAAAATAGTAATGAGAAAATAAATGTTGAGTCCTGTAAAATGAGTCCCACTTTACTGAAGAATAAATGATGTGTAGGACAAGTGAGCACATTCCCTATGCTCACTGTCTGGCAAAGTGCAGCTAGTGGAATATGCTTACTTGTCCCACACATCAGTTTTTAAAGAGGACTAATTACAAAAGAATGATTATCACTCCCTGTTAAGTGAAAAAGAGTGATTTTTTTTTTAAATGAAGATCAAGAAAACGTGCCATGTTTCCACATACCAATATGCTTGAGATGGAGTCAATTATAGCGAGAGCCTTACCAAATTCGGGGCCATGAAAAATGCATCACGGACCATGAAATCTGGTCTCCCCCCATGAAATCTGGTGTTTTGCATGCTCTTACCTTGCACTATACAGATTTCACAGGGGAGACCAGAGTTTCTCAAATTGGCGATCCTGACCCAAAAGGGAGTTGTGGGGCGGGGGGGGGAGGCACAAGGTTATTTTAGGGAGGTCAGAGTATTGCCACCCTTACTTCTGTGCTGCTTTCAGAGCTGGGCAGCTGGAGAGCAGCAGCTGTTAACCAGGCACCCAGCTCTGAAGACAGTGCCCCGCCAGCGGCAGCGCAGCCGGAGAGTGACAGCTGCTGACTGAGGGCCCAGCTCTGCAGGCAGCAGCACAGAAGTAAGGGTGGCAATCCCATACCGTGCCATCCTTACTTCTGTGCAGCTGCTGGTGGCGGCTCTGCCTTCAGAGCTGGGCTCCCGGCCAGCAGCCGCCACTCTCCAGTTGCCCAGTTCTAAAGGCAGAGCTGCCACCAATAGCCGCGCAGTGCCGCAACCCCTCCCTACAATAACCTTGCGACTCCCCTGCCAACAACTCCTTTTTTGATAAGGATCCCTACAGTTACACCATCATGAAATTTCAGATTTAAATAGCTGAAATTATGAAATTTATTATTTTTAAAATCCTATAACCATGAAAATTGACCAAAATGGACTGTGAATTTGGTAGGGCCCTAAATTATAGCAAATGAAGACAGAAGAAACCTAATATGGCAGAATTTCTCAATCTGTGGGTCATGACCAAAACTTGGGTCATCAAAATGTGTCAAAAAGGGTCATGTGGAAGACAAAGCATGGGGAGGAGTTTCCTATCCTGGGAGAGGCAGTTGCAGAGCCCACTCCTCACTCACCCTGCAGCTGCGGCTCCAGTCCTGTGGGGCTGTCTGGGCTCAGTTCCCCACTTTGTGCATTGCAACTTGTTGCTGGGGGCCTCAGCACTGCTCAGGTTTAGCCCAGCCACACCTCCGTCATGATGACAGGGAGCTGGCAGGGCCAAATTTGAGTGAGAGGTGCTGTGGCCCCATGTGCCAGCTGGAAACGCCACTCACACAAAGGTGGCCTAGCCAACCCTTCACCATGATGGCTGAGCCAAACGTGAGTGGTGCTGCGACCCCGGAGGTTGCAATGCCTGGAGCAGGGAGCCAACCCCAGGCAGCCCCGCAGGACAGGAGCCACCACTGTGTTACGTATAGTGTACTTATTTAGTACGTATTACATTAATATGTATATTACATATTGCAAATAAACACTTAGTAGGCAGATGTTTTTTGTGCTAGAGCTATTTACTGGTTTGTGACAGCCCATCACGTTTTAGAAATGGATAATACAGTACGACACTTAGTCCATTCCCACTCCACGTCAGTGCAAAGTCATCTACATGATTTTTAGTGCTTGATCCAGTTTAGTTTTCAATAAGCATAACGCTGCCATTAAATGGGACAAAATTTAATTGTCTGAGTTGCTGATAATCCTCACTCCTTCCACCCCATGACACCTGTAACCCTATCCACACATCCTTTCCCTGCCAAGATGCATGATATTTGTTTCCTTCTTTCAATCTCAAATTGTTTTAATTTATGACATTATTGCCCCCTACCATCGTCCAGTCCCTAAGAAAACTACATTTTCTCCCTCCCGTCTCATCATTCAGGCCTGTCACTTTGTCCTGACACCTACTTTACTAACTCTGTCAACCTCTCATTTGTCTCTCGTACCTTCCTTATAGCTCCAAAACCGGCCACTGTCCATTCCGGTCTTCAAAGAACACCTCCTTTGAACCTGACACACACTAACTACTGTCCTTGTCACCCTGCCCTTTCTCAGCAAACTGCTTGACAAAGTAGTTTTTAATTTCCCCATTTGCTTTTCATACAACCTTAACTGATTTCAACCTGCTTTTTGCTCTGGCCATAATCTGGAAAATTTTCTTCTCCTTAGAGACAAATCTTTTTCTGCTGTTGATACCTTCTTCCCCTTACTCATTTTCCTCAACTCAGTGCACCCTTTTTGACTGCATTTTCTTGTACAAACTTCATAACTAAAGAAGCACCTCAGAGTCCCTCAAATCACTTTTTTACTTCTGCTCTCTTTGATCCTCTCTACATTGGGATTTGAACCATGTTTTAAGAGAGAGAGTTTGGGGTCACAGACTTAAGTCAGGGGTTCTCAAACTGGGGGTCAGGACCCCGAGGAGGTTGTGAGGTTATTACATGGGGGGTTGTGAGCTGTCAGCCTCCACCCCAAACCCCATTTCACCTCCAACATTTATAATAGTGTCAAATATATTAAAAAGTGTTCTTTAATTTATAAGGGGGAGGGTCACACTCAGTGGCTTGCTATGTGAAAGGCGTCACCAGTACAAAAGTTTGAGAACCGCTGACTTAAGTGGGTTTTTAGAAATGGCTTTATACAATTTAGATTGTAAGCTCTATGGGACAGGGAATGTCGTCTTACCATGTGTGTGCACTGCACAACAGGGCCCCAATTACTCAATGGGTCTTTATTATAATAATTTAGTCTCATCTACGCTGGTCAGTCCAAACCGCATTTAAAAATTATTTAGATGGAACAAGGTTTAAATCGAGTATAAACATTCCACAAAGCCCAAGAGATAGTAGTTCTCCGGGAAAATGGCTCATTATTTATCTATCAACACAGATATTTTGTCCCCAGTAAAATGGGGTTGAAAACCGTTTGGCCACTAATGTACAAAAGGCAATTTGCTCCTCAATGTCGGTTACAGGAAGCAGATGTCTCCCATTTTCAGAACTAGAAACAACCATTCAGGAAAGATGAAGCTCACCAGCTTATTTACATAACTAATATCAGTTACTGCCAATGTAAATCAGATTCATAATAAAATTGTAGAACCCAACCCATTGGGCTTTCAGCCAGCTCCCTCATTCTAAACATATTCTTCTCATCTGGCCCATATTAAGAAATATTAAAAAACCAAAACATATATCTAATCTAATTCTTGATTTAGCATTAAGAGCTGTATTGTATCTTTTACCTCCCAGCCTTACACAGCAGAGATTACTACTCCCTTCCTCTTGTGATTTCCTAACTTCTTTTGCTTTGCCAAGTAACGCTGAGTGATCCACAGGGTACATTTTCCAGGCAGTCTTAATCTTCCCACACTTTTTAGGATTCTGGTGCATTTTGAACATATTTATGCAAAAGGTATTTATACAAAATCTTTATAGAATGATGCAGAATGACTCACTCGGATTATGAGTTGGGGGGGAAACTGTGCCACTGTTGCAAAAATAATTAAAAGGGAGGAAGGAAAGTCCATGTTTCAAAAGTGTTTGTTTGGGAAATGAAAGGGTGTAACAGGACATGCTGAGTCTTCAGCTAACTCAACACCTTGTCACTCAGCTCCCCACCACTGTATGTTAATTGGGACTTAACTGGAAGACAGGTAACTGACTTAAGGTGCCAATTAACTGAGTAGAGCTACAGCTGAGGGGCTAATTGAGGGGCAGCAACCCCCAGCAGCTGGGATTTTATGAGCACACAGGAAGGAAGTGCTGGAAGCCTGAATGAAGGCAGAGGTAGACCTGACTAGCTACTACTCGTACTGTTCCCTTCCCTAGAAACAAGTGGCGAAGCTGGTTATGGACTCTAAATATATGTAAATAACAATACCAGCTGTGGTCTGTGGAAAGATTATTATTAAAGTTAATGTTTAAAATTAAATATACACAAGCTAAGAGGGAAGGTACTGTACACGGAAGAGGTGGAGTGGGGGCAGGGCCTGTGGCAGAACCAGGGATTGAGCAGTGAGCACCATCCGGCACATTGGAAACTTGGCGTCTGTAGCTCCAGCCCGAGTCGGTGCCTATACAAGGAGCCGTATATTAACTTCTGAAGAGGCGCATGTGGCTCTGGAGCCACAAGTTGGGCACCTCTGTCATAGTGTCTAGTCCTAAATTAAAATATTCTGAACTCCCACTTGAATGGGAATTTTAACTGCATATGTTTAAGAAGTTTAAAAAAATGAAAGTGAGCAGTTGTCTCCTGTCCATATACTGCCAAAGTTATGGACTGTAGTCATAGTGCCTGGACATTCAAAATGCTTTGAAATGTGCAACATCAAAAAGGTTGCAGCTCTTGACCTAGTCAGAACAGTTTAGTCTGCCACAACACACACTCACATCAGCCTGTACCCCTTGCAAAACATACAGCCACATCTGTGTTCATGGCTTGCAGAGCCACATGAGCAGCAGAGAAATCATGCTCTTCCCATTCCCAATCCTCAGGGCCTTCAGTTCCAATTCTGTTCATAGCTAGATAGGACTAACTCTCCTGCTCAGTGACCGTTTGACTTTTTTTGTTCCTCCTATATCCATAATCAGCTTGTCTGCCCCCCAAAAATTTATCAAAGGAAAAAAACGGTTACTGATCTTTCGTAACTGTTGTTCTTCAAGATGTGCTGCTCATGCCCATTCCATGCTAGGTATGCGTGCGCTACGCACAGTTGCCAGATATTTTTCCCCCCAGTGGTATCCATAGGGCCGGCCGTGGTGCCTCCCGAGCCCCACGTTCCTGCGTCGGTATAAAGGGCGTTGCCAGCCCTGTACCCTCTCAGTTCCTTCTTGCTGGAAACTCCGACAGTGGAGCAGAAGGGCAGGTCATGGAGTGGACACAAGCAACACATCT